TCTACCCACATTCCCCCAAACAGTGGCCAGTGACAATTGGGAGAAGTTAAAATCAAAAGTATCCTAAGCTGCCCAACTTCCTTCAGGAAGAGAACCATTTGCCAAGAACTGTTTGACCTGCCTGCACTGCCTGGCCCCTCAGAAGTCTGTCACGCTTGGGGAACTGCTGCTTCTGCACTTGCTTAGGTCCCTGAAGATTGCTGTGGCTGAGTCTTCTGTGGATTCTCTAATATGAGAAGGGTGGTCTCCTAGCAACCAGGATTGTGTCCCGTCTTGTTCCCCATACTGAGAAATCATGATTTTTATATCAAGCTAAAGATTTTATTGCTTTGTGGGAAAGGTGGGAATTGACCCCAGCCTTGTGGAATCTAGTGAACTTTCTGGAAGATTGTATCTTCTCTCAGAGATTATAATCATCTCAGTAGTTGTCCTCCCATCTGGGTAACATGTGCACTTTAAATGACCTCTCATCAGCTGGCTTCATCTTTGAGACAATCAAATCTGTTAACTCTTTTCTTAGAAGATGGAGAGGGTTAAAATAAAGACATGTCAGTATACCCCCACCTCCCCACTCTTACGGAAGTCACCTGCAGGGAAGAAGATCTCACCATGATTGATTTTTTTTCCGAAAGGTACGAACTGAGTCTTTTGAGGGTTCTACCACTAGCGCTGCCCATTGCTAGTCCCACCCACCCCCACACTGGTTCTTCACAGCCTCCCTCATAGCAGCAGTATGCAGGGATGTGTTGAACCCTGCAGGGTAACATTTGTATGCACAGCCTTAGTAAAGGACACAACCTTGGCCCATAGGCCAGAGCTTGCCCAGGGTCCTCTCCATACAAGTTTGAAATGTCTCCTTCTGTCCCTGAGGCTCTTGTGACCTCACCCACTATTCTTGCCAAGGCTCTTGGTGTTTCATCAGACTTAAGTTGCCTTTGACCTGTACCCAGAAGACAGTCCTGGAGTGTGGGCTTCCTTGCCTGGTCACCTGTGCATGGGTGTCTTTAAGTGAAGCGATGACACACTCCCCCATCCACCCATCCCTGCAGAGACCAAGGGCATGGTGCATTTGTGTTAGGCTCCTTGTTTTCTTTCATGTGGCATAACATTCCTAGTTAACTAGACTTTGGAGTCTGCTGCCTGCTGGCCAGGTGGAGAAATGCAAAGTATTCTAATGCTGCCATAAGGGGGGAGGGGTGACAGAGGCCTTTTCCTGCACTCACAAGATTTCATTTGTCAAATGATTGATTGGCAAGTCCTGAGTTATTTCTCCATCTCAACTAAGGTGTAAAGTGGGTGGCCCCCACTACTGCAAGTGTGCCCTGCGGAGAAACCAGGCAGGAGCTGCTGCCACAGACCCCAGAGGGCCTCTGCAGGAAGTACAGAACCTATCTATGCCTTAGAACCCTCCTAGCCTCAGCTGCCCTGCCTTGGTTGCCACCTGCTGGGATGGGCCTAACCCAGTTGGCTTGTCTCAGGTTTCCTCCTGAGGCCTGGGCTCTACAGAAGGTGAGCAGGATACACCTATACCTCTGTTCTTGTTCATTTGTCTCCAAATGCTGTATGAACATTTCTGTACTAAGCCCTCTTAAATGAAAAGTCGGATTAAACCCAAGCGCTGTATAGTAATTTGTAATTATGTATAAAGTGAAGCAGTTTTGAACTGTAAAGATTTTCAGTGTGTTTTCTGGAAATTTGCCACAACATACTGGCTTTGTATTTTATATATCATCCTTTGTAGTTACTGGCTTCTGACTCTTGTAAAGTTCCCCTCAGACCTTTCAAAAATAATAAATGTCCTTTGAAATCTTGACCTCTGCCATGATGTATTTGTGGTAAGAGAGTATTCACCTCCCCACCATAGCAAGCCACCTGTTTCTGTGCTGTTGGGGGCAGGGCGTATGGAGGAGTGGCCTCCCACATCAGGCAAAGCCAGGAGCTTGCCCCAAACCCCCAGGGTCACTGACCCATCTAAGTCAGAGTGCAAACCAGACTTGCATGAAGTCAGCACAGTAAGGTTCAAGCTGCTGTGCTGTCTGCACGTCCCATCTTAGTTAACTCAACCTAAGGGAGCAAGTCCTGTGTGCATGGAACACTGCAAGAGTGTGCCAGGTAAGTCTGGTCCCCATGCACAGCTTGGACTGCTGTCCCCAGGCCTGGCATCCTACTGCTATGAGTCTCATTCAGGCACATCAGCTCAAAGGCTCTTTGGTCCCTTTGGACATTAAGGAATTGTATCATCTAGTGGCACAGAAGCCATGGGCAAAGCTCCCTGGAATCCTAAAACTGCTGCCTCCATCTCAACAACCAACAAGAAAAAGACCCTGCCAGGCTCTCCAAGGTCCCACTCTCCCCATGAACTTGGAAGTGCATACATTTTTTTAGGAGAGGCATTTGTAACCTTAGCAATAGCCATTCCCCTACAAGTCCCTGGAACACTGTCCCGTTCTTCTGTCCTTGGCTGTCTTACTTCCCCACAGAGCATCCAGCTTGGCTCATCTGGTTCCACCCCAGTGGGTCTGATTGCAGACTCTCAGCTGGAAGAACAGTGGCTCCCCTCTACATGTGATCAAGCACTTCCAGTGTGGTGTGTCAAACAAAGTTGTTTGGGGGAGCAAAATATGTGGCTTTGCTAGGTCCCATAGACAGCAGCCTCCAGCCTTTCAGGAACGTGGCCCACAGTAGAGGCATTTTTGTGTAGTGAGTCTCTTAGGCACTGTAATGAAAACCTAAAATATAACTTTGTCTCTCACATTCTCTCCTTGAGTTTTATTCTGAGTTGAACCCTGACTCTGTGATGGGTACCTGTTTACATTGGGATCTAATAACCATCAGCTTAATGGTACTTAGGAAAGAATTATCTAGTTAAGGCATTAATGAGCAAGAAACAAATAGCAGAAATACAAGGTCAAAGAGCCTGAGATAGCAGACCAAGTTACTAACTAGGAGTGTCAAAATGAGAATGGGAACAGCCTTTCGCTTCATTGCTGGTGCTCTTTTTTGGGAATATTTTCTTGAGTACAGCCAGATTACCTGATGATCCCTGAGTGCTTTGTATACAAAGAATAGTTTTTTCAGAAAGTCACACCTCACCTCCTTCTGCAGAAAGCAGAGCCATACCCTGTGGCTTTGTAGAAGTATCTCAGCTAATGAATCTACCTGTTGATAGATGTGGGTTTCTTTGTGTTTAACAGGCACCTTTCCTGGTATGTTGTAGCCACCTGGGGCCATGGATCAACTGGGTTCTCCTGAAAGGGGGGCTGGAAATGAAGAAAGGGACGAGGGCGAGAGGAAATAAAGCCAAGACAAAGTATTCTGATCAAGGCTCAAAGCTTTTTTTTTTTTTTTTAATTTTATTAACAACTGGAAAATACAAGCGTTACAAGTCATTTAACGGCAACTGAAGTTATAGAATTCCCCTACATGTTCCTTAGGTAACAAGGCTGATTAGCACTATGTGCCAACTGTTGTTGGTTGTCATTCTTTTTTTTTTTTCTTTTTTTTCTTTAAGCGGGGCTCGGCCGGGGGCTGCGCTGGCGCGGCGGCTCCGCGGGCTTCCCCTCGCGCCGGGCTCGGCTCCCTTTATCGCGCTCCTCCGCGATGGCGGCGGTGGCGGCGACGGACAAACATCTCACTGCGCAGGCCGAACGTCCTCCTCCTCCTCCTTCTCCTCCTCCGCCTCAGCGAGACGAGATCCGGCCCAGAGGGTGGAGGGGGTGGAGGGAGGGAGGAGAGCGGAGAGTGGAGAGATGGGGGGAGGGGGCGGGAGGACAGGAGGGGTTGGTTGTCATTCTTAAAACCTCAGCCATCCTATGATCACACAGCTCATACACATAATCAATCAGATTTGGCTTGTCACCAGCATTTAGAAAACCAGACCAAGGTAAAGAACTGGGTCTGGGGACACATGCATGGTCTTACTATAGCGAATGTCTAGCCTGTCCTGATTATCACAGAATCAGAACAGCGAGAATATTCGCAAAAGGCTCAAAGCTTTAATGTTCAGCTCTCAGCTTAAAAGGGAAAGACCCCACCCCAACCTTTTCCTGTTTCAGCCACAGATGGGTGGGGGTATTTGTTCTAGGTTACTGCTGGAGATGGGTGGAGGAGATATCTCAGGGCAAGCCCAGGGGCAGTTCTTCTAAATTCCAAGCAGCCTAGGTTGGTAACTCCACCTAGATCCTATCACTTGGTCTGTTGTGGTAAACAAGTTCTGGCCTGCTCAAGGCTGGGGGAAGGGCACAATATGCCAATAGCCACTATAGGTAGCCATTTTGTCCTCTATGCCACAGAATGTCCTTTTGATCTAACATTCCAGCCTGTTGGGGACAAGGGGTGACGAACTCTCTTCTGTAACTACTTCCTGCTGAAACAAGGATGTTGCCAGGGCCCAGGAAGGCTGGAATATTAGCCAAAAGCAGGGAAGGGATTCAGGCAATGGGACATGCATCAGAAACATCCAGTTAGATGACCCAGCTGAAGAGACAGGGAGCAATCACATCGTCTGGACTGGTTCACAGCTGCTTTTCTCGAGTCCAGAGCATAGAGCCATTTGCAGCAGTTTGCATAGTTGATTCCTGGATGGTGTCTGTCAGCCAAGTGGAAATCTGCTGAGACAGAGACAGACTCGGGACAGAAGTTAAAGTTTAGGACCTTAAAGGCAAATCTTACATTTTGAGATTTCAGGCCCATAGTCCTAGAACCTGGGGGAGGGAAGGAGTTCCAAGTCCAGGAAAGAGATTTCACCCTCAGGAATAAGGAGATGGAGAGACTTAGGCAGTACATATCTGGAGTCCCTGTGAGATATGGGTCTTAATAACAAGTCTTAATAACTCCTTCAATGCCCTGAAGCTTATGTGAATTTTTTACCAATTTTTAATTTTTACATATATAGGTGTTCCCTGCATGTGTGTCTGTGCACCTTACATATGTCCAAGGAGACCAGAAGAGATCATCAGGTCCCCCGGGACTGGAGTTACAGACAGTTATTAGCCTTCACGTAGGTGCTGGGAATTGAACCCTGGTCCTTGGGAAGAGCAGCCAGTGCTCTTAACTGCTGAGCCATCTCTCCAGTCGCTTACATTTTTTTTTTCAGTTTTAGATATATCAGCACCAATCTGTACTAAAATCCACATTGCAGAAAAACCAGCAAACAGGTATCTGTTAAACAGCTGGAAAAGACTCAAGCCTCTGAGTCCTAGCAAAAGCTATGGCTTTGGGTTAAAAAGCATAAACAATCTTGTCTCGCGGTCCAGAGGGATGGACATATAGATTGAACACAGATGTTTTTAGCGTGATGAGAAGTACCTTTAAGTCTCTACTCAAAAGACAACTAACGGGAACTTAAAATCTTGAGCTTGTGACTGAATACTAAGCAGCAATGCTCCACCAGCTATCACAACTCCATTGATAAATATTGATGTTCTGAACTTTTAAAATCTTAGTATAACAATATATCACAGCTGAGGGAAAGAAATCTGACATTTCCCATTTTTCAGATACCTTAAATCACTTTCTTATACCTCTACACCTTGCATTTATACACCTTAAATGATTTCAGACCCTCAGAATTCTCACCACCTCAGACCCCTCTATACCTCTGAACATGCAGAACTTGCACAGACTTTGAATCTTCCTTTTCCCATCTAATCATTTACCAGAGACACGAGCAGTTATATTACTGAGGACAGTTATTGCAAAGCAAGTTTAAATAAAGGAACAATGAAAAGGCTACATCTGAAACCTGTTTATAGTTTAATTTGAAGCCTGTTAGCAAGGCAAAGCTGTCTGCTGTTTCTTAACAAGAGACCTAGTACCTCTAGAGACAGCAAGGCTTGATTTTTCCCTACGAAATGGAATGAGGTGGCTCAAGCCTTGGGTGAAGGAGCCAGTTGCCTGCTGCTGCTGCCAAACTGACAAACCTATAGTTAGCCTAGCCATCAATGCCATCAGAGATCTGAGAAGGATAAGTTATACCAGGAAGTATAACCCAAATGGACTATGTATCAATTACCATGTCAGAGACTTAGCCATTACCTAGTAGCCAACCCACCAGGCTCCTGTGGTGTCCATGTCAGCGTTGGGGGCACACGTCGAAGGGCCGCATCAATCTTCAGCTGCCAGGCCTGGCAAATCTGAGAGGACTTCTTCCTGTGGAGGAGGAACTTGAGAGAATGACCTCACTCTGTCTAGGCAAAGTGGGGCCATCAACTCTCCAGTGTCCCGCTTGTCCACGGTTTGGACAGGATCCTGGCAGCGGGCGAGGCATTGGGGCAGTTATGCCCAGTGGTTAGGATTATACCACAACACAGGCGGAGTCGTTGGTGCCCTGTCTATCTTCTTTAGAGACCTTAGGGTGAGTAAGTGCTAGGAGCTGGGGTCTCTGTCATGGTAAGCTTTTTCCACTAAGCCTTTGAAATCCCATTTCAGCAGATCTCTGATGAGTTTGAGGACCGTAATTATTAAGTATAGTTGAGCTAAACAAACTTTGCTTCTTTTTAGTTTGTTTTAGGCTTAACCTTAAAAACACAGGAGGTTAAATGAAGCTTTTTCCTGTAATTAATTACATTAGTCCTTGCCAAGGAATGGCGCTACAGGAAAGTGGCATCAGGGGACCCTCCACCTTGCCATGTGGGACCCAGTCTTCTGTCTGCTTTTGGATCCTCCAGTGCCATTCCTGCCTGGATGATAAAGTTCTGATCCTATGGACCTGCAAGCCAGCCCCAATTAAATGTCCCTTGTAAGAGTTGCTTTGGTCATGGTATCTCTTCACAGCAATGGAACCCTAATTAAGACAAGTCCTTATCATGAATACAAGTGCAGTTTAGAATACATTAAAAAATATGATCTTTTATGAGTGACTATTAAATTGCATATCTTAATCATCTTTAACAGTTTACAGTAAGTAGCTCTATCCCTGTTAGGTTTACCCTTAAAAAAAAAATTCTAAAATGAAGCTTTTCTATAGTGTAAAAATAAAGCTTTTAATGATAAATAGGACTAGTCCACAGGCAGACTGGCAACGTTCCTGGTCCTTTCATAGTGTACCATTATAGAATCTCGCAGCTGCTTATATGACTCAGTTTATCAGAACATCAAAAGCTTAACAGAGTTAGCAAAGAGGCAAGACATACATTTTGTTTTGTTTTGTTTTAAGACAGTGTTTCTCTATGTAAGCCTGGCTGTCCTGGATCTGGCTCTATAGACCAGGCTGGCCTGGAACTCAGAGATCTGTCCACCTCTTCCAGTAAACGTGCACCCTTGCCATCACAAGACCCCCCCCAACCCCCTCACCCCACCCCCGACACCGCCACCGCCCGGCACCGGCATCGCCACCACCTGGCACCGCAACCACCTGGCATTGCCACCACCTGGCACAAAGTCTTTTTTTTTAATTGACTTTACATCCAGATCGCTGTCCCCTCCCCCAACACCCTCCCCCTCTCCTCTGAGAGTGGAGCGCCC